ACGGGACAAGTTTGATGATGATGAAGACATCTTGGAAGATGCTGATCGGCAACTTGCCCAACGAACCACGCCGGGACACTTGCAAGACAGGCTTACCGTTCTGCAAGAGAGAGCCCTGGCAGCGATTAGGGCCTTGCCTGGTGAGTGTAGAGAAGACTTTGACTATGGGCAGGTTGAGACGAGGGTGTGGGGGCTGGAAGCTCTCAAACACGTCCTACGCATGAGGCTGGCGCTTCAGAGAAATCTCATGCTTTGCAGACCGGTTGTTGAAGAACCGGAGATCCCCAATGCCATTGAATTGTTGGCAGCCAATTTGACCTTGTGCGTCCACAACAAGGGCAATAGATGCTATGCCGATTCGGTTCTGCGGATGCGGTGTTGGATCGGTTGCATTTTGGGGGCCTTCCACTCGACTGTGTATGCAGCTGCTCCAGCAGGATGACATTGAAGATGTGTTTGGGCAACGGAACTTCAGCCTGTCATTGCCAAGTTGGAGAACCCGCAAGGGCAGCATGATGCTTCAGAATTCCTCGTTTTATTGTGGGAACTGTGGGGGCAGACATGGCTCCAAGGTAACTGGCACTCGATCTTTGGAGGGCGCGCCCATGATTTTTGACACCATCCCACTGTTCATCAGAATGCCGCTGGAAGCTGGTGAAGAGACCCAGTTTGAAGACCTGGTAGCGGGCTGGGCAAATGAGGGTCATGGGCAGTGCTTAGGGTGTGATGTCCAGCACATTGTCTTCCACATTGGACGATACACGTTGATCAACAAGGTGTGGACTAAGCATCTCACTCCGTCCCACGTTCAAGTGCCCTCAAATGACGTTGACTGGACATGCAGCTCCTTCTACGTTTGTTTTGAGGGGCATCATTGCTCATCAAGGAGATGAATTAGTCAGTGGCCACTATCTGACTATGCTGGCCGAAGGGGGTGCCATTTGGGTTGTTGATGATGGTGAATGTCCAAGGGCACACAAGGAGGTTCCTGACTACATCCAAAGGGGCTGTGGGCCTCCCGTGCTGAACCCTCACACTAGCATTGGTTCATTTGAGCCTCCTGCCAAAAGACCAAAGACTCTGGCAAGATGAGGTTGCGATCTTCTGTGGCAACAAAACGCAGTGGACCAAGGATGTCCAACAATGGCTGGTGCAGCAAGATCTGCTGGTGGAAACTCACCTAGAAGGCAAAAAGATGGAAGGAGAAATGAACGACCTGTGTAGGTCCGGATGGCAACCCACCTTTCTTGGGCGTATGAGACGGGAAAAGGAGGCATGAGTGGAGGCCATGCGTTCTGCATGAGAGAAGGCCAAGCGGCCTACAAGATCCACCAGATTGACTTTGAAGGCAGTGGTTTCCTGGCCAGCAAAAAGACAGAGATGGGAGTTGGCCAAGATTCTTGGGGAGCTGGCAGCCTTCGTTCAAGAACTTGCAATCCCCTGGTTGGTGGTTGGTGATTTTCAGGTTCCGCCAACACAGTGGGAAGGACACCATCTTCTCAGTGTCCTGAAGGCAGAGATTGTCAGCAGTGGCCAGCCGACTATGATCAGTGGGGCGGAACTGGACTACATAGTGGCTAGTCGTATGGTTGCACCATGTTGCACCCATCATTGATCTCAAGGTCAGTTGGGATGCCCCTTGGCGGCCTCATGCAGGGTTGATGATCAACATTGCCCAGGATGCCCCTCGCCTCTCGTTGCCGCAATTGACACAGTTTGCGCCAGTTCCCAAGTTGGACAACGCACAGAGGTCCTGGGATCAGTTTGCGCCGGCGCCAAAGCCTTTCTGGTTGGGCAGGCCGATTGCCCCCAAAGAGATACAATGTGCTGCATTTGCCACCAAGCTGAACAATATGCATTGCAGAATCTTCATGAGCCACGGCGGGGTCGAGGGTGGTCCCTGGCATTGGAGATTAAACCACTGGCCAAAACAAAGCCCTTGACCCCATGGAAGAAAAGAGACCTGGCCTATTGGGGACAATTCTGCTCCCTTTTGCAGCATGTGGCGAGTAAGAGGCACATTGCGACAGGCACTATGGTTCACCTGAAAGCGAAGGCTGCTGATCTGCAAATCAGGTGGCAAGACTTGCAAGGTCTAGTTGACTTCCAAGCGGGCCTTGAAGCCCTGATCAATGGAGATGCCACTCCGCTCACGCTGCTGATCAAAGGAGCTGAATGTAACAAAGATCAAGCACAGAAGATTGCACTTGGGTGGCAAGCTGACGAATACCGAGCTTGGCTCTCACAAGCTACGCTCCGAGGTCAGAGTGGAATCTATCGGTGCTTGAAGGCGCCTGATGCTGTGCATTTCGACCGTACCGTGATGTACCAGTGCAGCAAAGGCAGAAGTTGAGAGAGCAGCAATGGCATGGCACATGGCAGGTGCTAGACCAGCCAAAGGCAAGTGGTGAGAGAGAAAGGCTCTGTTGGGAAGGCGTTCTCCAAGCCCGGCAATGGGAAGATCTGGATCCACACGAAGTCATGAAGCAGCTTCAAAAATTGCCACAGAAGGCATCTGGGCCTGATGGAATTAGCTATGCCCTGCTGAAGGCCTTGCCCATTGAAGGTGTCAGTGACCTCTACAATATGTATCGTCGGTGGGAATTGGATGGTCGTTTGCCTGATCAAGTTCGAAACACTTTGGTGCTGCTGTTACCCAAAAAGGAGGATATTGAACGCCCTATCTCCTTGACCGTGGGTAAGACTGGATTCCTGGCGTCGTCAAATGAGAGCAAGAGGGCATTGAGCATGTTCCGACAAGATGGCCAGCCAAAAGTCCACGACCTCCTGAAAAATCTTGGCTTGGATGGCTCCTGAAGGGTGGCAGAAGACAGACCAAGCTGCTGCACCTCAAGCAGAGAGCAAGGCCAATCCGCATACGTGTGAAAACGTCAGTGCATTCGGCTGCGTGCTATGGCCTGGAGCTCAAGGAATGGCGCCGCAAAGACTGAGCGCCCAACTAGCTCGCCACGGGGGTCTCCAGAAGGGAGGAAAAAGAGGCAATGTGGACATTGTCCATGACCAGAGCTCCATGCTTCAAGACCCCAAGGACACAGCAATAGAACGTCGGATGAAAGCTGTTCATTTTTTGGTTCTCAAGTGGCCACCTGAGCAAAGAGCAGCCGGAAATGGCTCCAAGCGCTGCAGGTCTACCTGACGCCAGTGCACTGGATGACTGGGTGAGGGAGCCCTCTGGATTGCTGCCGCAAGCTCAGCTCAATCTGGAGTATCCGTGGCCTTACCTGCAGAGACAGCTGGAGCTGGGTCATCAGCGGGCAAGGAGGATTCAGAGCCTGGGGCATATGATGAGGAGGCCTGACTGGAGAACCTATCACAAGGTCATGAAGAAGGCAACTGCAAGTCGCGGCCATCAATGCCCTATGTGTCAAGTTCCAGTCACGATGAAGCACCTGATTTGGCAGTGCCAGTATCATGAGCAATCCTTGCCGGCTGAATGGGTGCAGATGATTCAGGCCAATGAAAACACTATGTTGTGGGCGCGGGGGCTCAATGATGCACCTGGCTATCGGCTGTGTGAAGTTGAGGGCATCTTCAGTCATGGATGGCCTGTCAGGATTGGACCGCATCAGATCCGAGGTTGCGGAAGTATGCTGTTGCAGCCATTGCGGTGCAATGGCAAGATGGGGGCTGGCAGGTCATTGGGAAGTGCACAGCGATAGCGCCTGGGCAGGCCACTGAGGCTCGTGGATTTCTTTTTGATGTTGGCTCATCCTGCAATTGGTGCTGGGCAAGCATCAGCTCAACATCCCCCACAAAGCAGGGTCGGCAGCCATCAAAAGGGGCGCTGAAGGGACTGTAAGCCCCGGATCTGTTGTGGCGCAACCTTCCCAGTGAGTGATGAGTGGCAGAGACTTCAGTTGTTGCAAGTGCCATGGAAGTTGCTCAAAGCACAAGATGGTGATGCTCGTGCCCGTCAACAATTTCTCCTGGCCAAGCAAGCTGCTGGTGATAGAGCCCACAAGGAAAGGCCGGTGGCCCTGGAAAAGGATCTGCAGACTGAGGATGCTCTCCACGAGCAAGTCTACATGGTGGCGGCAAAGCACATCAGCCAGATGCTTGGTGACAAGGAGCACTACATGAATGGGGGGCAGCTTGAGCCTGTTGAGGTCACCTTCAAAGTCCAGCCAGCGCAGAAACCAAAAGGGAGGCTTGAAGCCTTTCGCAACCTCACTCTGAGAGTTGAACAACCGGGCCAACATGTACGGCAGCTGTATAAGAATGGGGTGAAGTGTCGAGATTGCTCCAAGTATATCAAGGGGTGTGCTACCCACTCTGAGATTGACCACAAACAAGACTCTCCTGGCAGTGGGCAAGTCACGAAGACCCTGGAGCAGTTAATGAGCGAGCTGGTGGATGAATCCAGCCTGTTGACTGAAGGGCAGGAAGGGCATCGGTGGTATGTCAAAGGCAGCAGTTTTGGATGCAATGTGTGTTGGTTGAAGATTCTTCGTCGAAGTGGCAAAAGCTTGCTGCAAGCCCTCCAGGCCAAGCCATGCGTTGCTGGCAAAGTGCAAGAAGCTGACTTGGCATTGAGGGCGCGGATTCACCCAAGTCACGCTCTCTACCGGAGGGGAGAGTGGATTGAGTGCCAAAAGTGCTTGAAGCGCTCGAAGATCCAAGAGGGCCGTGTCCAGACATGGGTGAGCCAGTATTGCTTTAGAAGTCGTGGACAACAAAAGCGCCGGTTTCGCCCTATGAGCTCTGACTCATGAACTTGGTTTTTTAAAGGGCTGGGATTTGGTGATCCACCAGTTCAAGGAAAGAACCTTGCTGGCTGCCGCTTTTGCCCTGAGGGCGCGGCGTCGTGCGAAATTGATGGAAAAGAACCGAGCAAAAAAAAAGATAAAGACAAAGAGATAAAGAGAAAGAGAAAGAGAGAGAGAGAGAGAGAGAACGAGAAAGAGACAACGATAATGAGAGAAAAAATAAACACATAAAGCAAGAAAGAACGAGAGAAACAATAAACGAGAGTCTCCAAGGCTGAGACTGTGACTGTGGAGTTTATTCTGTTGGCTGACTCTTGGACCTGAAATGCGCTGGGGCACTTGGGAGGGCTAAAGCTTGCAATGCCAGCGCGCAAGCACATCTTGAGGAACATAGACGTAAGCGCTAGCTTGATAATTGTAATTGAGCCGCAGCAAGCAACTAGCTTGGCACATGTACGGCTACGTTCTCAACTACTTCAAAGCGCACTTGCAAACTCATGGCATGTGGAGTTGGTAGAACTACATATGAAAGTGCATAACATTCTTGGTTCAACCAATGCGGTGCGGAGTTGGCAACATACAGCAAAATCCAAAGACCAAAAGGATCCAAATGGCAATGATTTGCGTCGACCTTTCTTCTCATGCGACGAATTAAGTAAGTGCCGATATTGCCATTTTTTTTTGACGACGTGACACCGGTTGATTTTTCAGTGTTTCTTTTCCTTGAACGTTTATCGTTCAATGTTTCTGCTTGAGGTCAATGGTGGAGATGCACCTCTCACGCTTCACCAGCAGGAGCAAATAGCTTTACTCCCAGGGCTTCAGGTCGGAAATTGCCAAAATGAGCCTTCACTTCCAACCTTTCGGCCTCTGAGTGTGAGTTGTTGTTTTACCGGCAGTCACTACATTCTCACGGTTTTCATCACAGAGTTGTCATCGGCTTCCCAACATTGATCAACGTTGCCATTATTGAAGGGTTGCGCACGAGTTGTCGATGGTGGTAATGTCGGTGGGCATGGTGGTGGCAATGTTAGCTGTCAGTCCGTGGGATGAAAGTCGGCGCTGGTAAGAGTCCAGAATTGTTGCTATAACATATAAATTTATAATGCAGCACGCGCTGAACGGCGCAAACCAGACATAAGTAGCAGAGTGCCAAGCCTTTACTGTACAATTTTGTTTTGCAGGCATGTTTCGCAATGAATCTCCACACGGCCCTTGATGCCCTTTGCTCGCACCTGCTACAACTGGTTCTTAGCAATTGCAAGGGAAGGAACTTGATTTTTCTAATGACTTCATCCATTTGAGGCCCGGTTTTTTCCACTCCCCATTGGCTTGCCACACCACTGCGATGGGCTTCACCGGGGCAACCTCCGTGCTGCGAGCGATGCAGAAGCTCTGAACTTTGCTTTGATTTTGTTTTGCTTTGCTTTGCAAATTGAGGTTTGCTTGCAAAGTTCACTCATGTTTGCTTTGCACTCTCCAGCCCGATCCTACTTTCAGACTGCTCTCAGCTTCGACCGAGGATATCACAGTGCAAGGCAGAAGCAAAGCCCTGGCATTTGCGGGATGGCCGGCTTTTGGTGACACCTATGCAGGTGCACATCGGAATTACATGGAATCACCCTGAACTGATCAGTTACAAGAATAGAAAACTCAAGAAGTAATCACGAAAGGTATATAGCTGAAGCTACCTGAGTTCTCCTTGCTTGCTTGAGTAACGATGTATTGCAATGGGAAGCGTGGTTTGTAGTGAGTCACAGGCTCTAAGAAGGGATTCAGAGGGGGACCCCTCAATCAAATCCTCCCTCCTCCTCATGCAGTTTTTGCATCTCCCCAGGCGTGCTCAGCTTCTTATATAATGTCAACATTGGATTAATCAAAGGGCCCCCCCACCAGAGAGATGGACTGTTAGGAACTTTGTGGCAAAGGCCTTTCAAACATAATATATACCCACAACAACAGCCCGCCAGGCTGTCAACCGCCACAGACCCGCCAACCCTGCTACCAAAAGACCAGAATAGACAAAAAAGAAACATATATATATATACATATATATATTTACACATATGTAATACTTCAAATGTGAACTATTGTCTATTATGTTCTGCAGAGTTGGATATACATATTATATATGTATAACTGTATAACTTAGACTCAGATAAAAGATCACTCAATAAACTATTTTCTCACTGGAAACCGACTTAACATTTTTTAATGTCATCCGTCAATCCCCTGGGAAAAGAACAAATTGCCGCGAGAATGTTTTGAGGACATTTCCTAAACTTCCTCATGGTGTGTTGAAGCTGGCTGCTGCTACTATTATTGCTAAAGCTGCTGCTACCATTATTGCTACTGCTACTGCTACTACTCTACTACCATACTACTGTAATTACCACCACCACCACCACCACCACCACGACCACGACCACGACCACGACCACGATGACCACGACGACGACGACAGCAACTACTACTGCTACTGCTAGTATTCTATTGTTGCTACTAGTAGTACTGCTGCTGCTGCTGCTGCTGCTGGCGCCACCACTATACCATCATGCAGAACTTGAGCACTTCATATGTACACGTACTAACAGCCATCTGGGCGCAAGAAACCGGTGCGTTCGCGATAGCGCATGTTTGCATGGTAGCGTGCCACGGTTCGAGGAAGGCAGCAGCTCGTGGCAAAGCTGCCTTGGAGGGCCAGGTGCAGCTCCTGGACGGTCGGGAGCCTGCACGGTTGGGTTGGAAGTGGACGGCATTGTTGGCCGTGTGCGGACTCCTGGTGCGGACGGGAGTTCCGCTAGCTGCAGTTGGTTGGTGGCTCGACGATGGCGACGATGGAAGACCTAGCCAGTGCATTGCAACAGCTGCAGCAGCAAGTGATGACCACCCAGGTGGACAACCAGGTGCTTCGAGAACGGTTGGCGACCTTTGAGGCACAGGCGGCGCTCTCACCGCCGCATGGAGGAGGCATGTCGCCTGAAGTCCGTGAGATGATGAGTGCACTCCGCGGACTACCTGAGGCCTTGGGAAAGCTCTCAAAGCCAAAGGGCTTCATAGACCCTCGAGGATTTGGGAAGCCACAGATCCTTGGGACATCGCGGGTGAGAAGTTCCGATTGTGGGCCATCAAGCTCGAGGACTAGGTGTCTGGGGTCTTCGGAGGTAAGAGCCGCGAGGTCTTGGAATGGGCTGCAGGCATGGACACCAAGATCACGCCTGCGGAGATCGATGCCAGCTATGGCAGTGCTGACATCCTGGACCAATGGGATGAGGTGCACAAATTCAACGAGCAGCTCTACACGGTGTTGAGGGCTACGACTGAAGGAAATCCCTTTGACCTGGTGGAGAACTGCTCGACTGGTGCTGGCCTCGATGCTTGGCGGAGTTTGCACCGACGGCTTGATCCAGCAACAGGATCTCGGAAGAGGGTGATGCTGCACGCCTTGACGAACCCTGAGCGTGCAGGCTATGAGACGCTTCTTTGGAACGGTGGAAAGCTCTCCGATTACGATATGATCGGAAGAAGGACAAGTTTGGAACACGGGAGGCTCTGCCCGAGTCTCTGGCGATGAACGCCCTTGAGAAGCTGGTCCCGAAGGAGCTTGAGACTCACCTGATGCTGAACTACGCCCGCTTCAAGACCTTTGAGGAGATTGAGCGGGAGGTGATATCAACTTCATGGAGGCGAAGACCGGATCCCGCATGGTGGTCAGTTCAAACTTCTCCAAGCCCTCAGGGGGCAGCTCCGGCCCGGTGCCCATGGATGTGGACAGCCTCGTGAAGGTCGTATCGGGCAACCTCGCCTCACTCGTGAAGAAAGTGGGCAAGGGCGATGTGAAGGGCACCAATGCCAACAAGATCAAGTTTGATGGAAATTGTGACAACTGTGGCAAGTACGGCCAAGAAGAATCCCAAGGGAGGTGGCAACGGAAAGGGCAGCAACAAGAACTCCGCCAATGCCCTCGACCTTCCCGAGCCCGAGCCGCGACCTGGTGACGCCAATGGGTTGGAGCTTTGCGCATTGGACATTTGCACCTTGGAGGAGGAGAGAGAGAGAGGAGCCCATTACGCAGCGAAAGCCAGCGCGCGTCCACCCTGCGCAGTGAAAGTCATCGTGCATCAACCAGGACAAGATCATCGCGCCGAGGAGAGGAGAGCTCAGCAGCTGACAGATCTGCCTTTTTTTTTGTGTGGAGTCATCCGACTCGGTGGAGAAGCCCTGGTTGAAATTCAACTTGGACACTGGAGCATCGGTGACCGTGTTCCCCAAGGACATGTTTGAGGCTGGCGAGCCGAATGAGATGCGGCTGAAGACCGCATCTGGGGAGGTGGTGAAGGCCTACGGAAAGGCGACTGTTCATGGCAAGGACACCCGCGGGCTGATGAGGAAGCTCAATGGGGAGGTGGCCGACGTGCGCAAGATCTTGGTGAGCGCGGCCAAACTGCATGAGACTCATGGATTGGCCCCGGAGGTGGTGAGATCATCCCGTTGAACCACCCGGTGAGAAGGCAATGATTGCAGCCTACCACAAGGCTGTGGATCAGTTTGGCAAGATGGGCATCATCCCGGTCTATGAGGAGAACGGCGTCTACAACTTCTACCTCTATGAGGAGCGGCTGGAACAAGGGGTTGAGGCTCCGCGTGCTCCTGACAGAGTTCCGACACCACGTACACCCGATCGTGGACCTCAAGCCGTGATGAATAGCGCATGGACAGTGGGTGGAAGTGAGAGGCCGATGATTCGAGGAATCGTTCCCCGCGACCTGGACGATGCCGACCAGTTTGTGCATTGAACATCCAGGCCCTGAGAAGGAGCTACCTGGATGGAAAACTGGAAAATCCGTCCGATTTGGAGAAGAAAGAGCATGAAGCTTCAGTCTACCGCAGCTGGTTCAGGCTGCTGGACGGGTCCAACAACACCGACGAGTCCCTTGTGAAGAAGAGACGACGAGTACCGTGGTGATGGACTATTTCTACCTCAACGAGGAGGAGGGAGCGAGGCCGCACTTGGTCTGGCGCCCCAAGGACAGGAAGACCGGTATGATGATGGCCACTGTGCTCAACCAGAAAGGCGTGGTGGACATGACTGGCCAACGACTGCTCACGAGGTTCTTGGAGGTGTTGGGTTACAAGGCAGGACGTCGTATTGAAGAGTGATGGTGAGCGCTCGTTGGTCCGGCTGAAGGCGTCGAACAGCACAGGAGGATCCTGGTGCGCCAGCAGAGGCTGAGGTCGGAGGACCGAGTACAAGCCGGACTGCTGAGTGCCCTGGATGCTTGGCGCAGGATTTCAGCAGGTGGCCCACAATGAGACCTGTATGGGCCGCATCAAGAGGTGCCTCGTGGAACAGCAGCAGGCAAAGGCTGAGGAGGCAAAGAGGCTGAGAGAGGATGATACGGCGGAGGAGGCCGTGAGAGAAAGGAGATCCACAGAGGGCACAACGCCCATGGATGAGACTGGAGGCCAGTCCACCGGCAGGCGAGACGGAGTGCCAGCAACAGTGGTAGATCCTGCAGGCCTACATCGCCGCCATCGACATCGCTTGCAGCCAAGAGGAAGCCAGGCCGTCGAGGACATTGAAGATCTCTTCCGCAGTAAGGAGGATGAGAGAGCAGCAGCTGGCGCTTCGCCAGCGACCATCGAGGCCATCGAGTGGATGAGCAGTTTGGAGGCGGCTCAGACCCTCGCGGATCTGGCTGCGATGGATGTCATCGAAGTTTTCTCCCCGAGCCGTGCGTGTGAATCGGGAGGCGGAGAGGTTTGGACTTCGTTTGGGAGCGGCAATCGATCTTGAGGAGCTCAAGCCGGATGGGTCAGTTGGCCTGGCCTTGGACATGATCGCCTACGAGCAGCCGTACTTGGTGACAAGTTCACCGCCGTGTACAACGTTCAGCCCGCTGAGGAGGCCAGAATGGTGGCAAAGGAGATCAAGCCAGTTGACATGCAGTTAGGTGGAGCTGACACTTTCTCCTCGACTCCACCGATCGAGGCCGTCTACACCCTGCTCAGCGCCTTCATGTCGAAAGACCCCAAGAAGGGCAATGTCAAGCTTGCCAACTGGGACATTTCCCATGCCCATTTTATGGGGCGTGCTGCGGCTGCGCGCGACATTTTCATGGAATTGCCGGAGCAGGACATGGTGCGGCCGGGGAACCAATGGTCGCAAAGCTCATGCGGAGCATGTACGGGACCCAGGATGCGAGTAAAATCTTTCAGGAAGATGATCAAGAGTGGCTGAAGCAGAATGGAGGGACATTTTGTCAGCTATGCCCAGCCCGCTTCAGGTTCAAGGAGCGTGGACTACTTGGTCTGGTCCATGGAGATGATTTCCTGGTGGTGGGTGAGGATGCTCAACTTCGCTGGTTGGACGGCGTTCTCAACAAGAAGTACACAGCGAAGGGGGAGAACCTTGTTGGAGACGGGCCAGGCGACAAGAGGTCAATGACCTTCCTCAATCGCCTCGTCAAGTACATCCCGGATGGAGCGGACGAAGACGGGAGGAGGTTGGAGATCGAGGCGGACGCCAGGCATGCTGAGATCTTGCTCCGCGAATTCGGCTTCAACTTCAACCAGTCCATGAAGGGATGTGACGTGCCGGAGGACAAGACGACCCAGGCCGACTTGGTGGAAGCGGACAGGCAATCAGTGCTGGAGAGCAAGCAAGTGAGGTCCATGGTGATGAGGATGGCCTACATGAGTGTAGACAGGCCGGACCTCTGTCATGTGGTGAGGTCGTTTGCATCGGCCATGAAGGGTCCAAAGATGATAGACTGGCGGCGACTCAAGAAGGCTGTGAGTCAGGTACTTGGTGAAAGAGCCCTACCTCAAGAGGATCTTCCGCGAGCAGCCCATCGAGCAGTTCAACGTGGTGGTGCTCTCAGAATCTCTCAGACTCAGACTGGGCAGGTGATCTCAGGAGTCGGAGGTCGACCGCGGAGCGGTGATCAAGGCTGGAGAGCACACCATTTTGGTGAAAGGGGCTTCACAAAAGATAGTCGCCCTCTCCAGCTGTGAAAGCGAATTTTATGGAATGTGCCGAACGGCAACACACGCCGAGCTCGTGAGGGGCATCATGGCCTTCTGGGGATTTGAAGCCCGGAAAGTGAAGCTGTTGGTGGATAGCTCCGCGGCTAAGGCCATGAGCGAGCGAAAAGAAGGAGTTGGCGCAAATCGACATGTGCAAGCTCGGTACCTCTGGCTCCAGGATAAGGTCTTCGGCAAGGAGTTGGAGGTGAGCAAAGTGGCAGGCAAGCTGAATGACGCTGGCGCGGTTGGGATTTGAGAAGAGCGGACGCTCTGGTCATAAGGGATTGACATAGTCCCTAGATCACAAGCTCCGCTACCTGCTTTTCCTTCAGTTGCGGCGCCAGTCGTGAGGACTTAGTCGCACAGAGGGTGCAGAACTTGAGCACTTCATATGTACACGTACTAACAGCCATCTGGGTGCAAGAAACCGGTGCGTTCGCGATAGCGCATGTTTGCACATCACCAGCGAACCCCGCTAACCCCGCGAACTGCGCGAACTTCGCCGACCCTGCGAATCCCGCCAACCCTGCTCATACTTCTACCATCATTACTACCACTACGACCATTTTACTAATAACGCGTGGACTACTTTCTACATTAGTTTTAGTAAATAAATGCTTATAGACAACATGTCGTGAAAACGCGCACTCTTCTTGAGAAAAGCAGCCAGAACGGAACCCTCAAGGTCAACAAGTTTTGAGATTCAGCTTGGAGGCGAAGACAACGTCGGGCGGGAGGTATAATTGAGATATCAGCACTATCTACTACTATGTATTTAATGCTTTGGACTCGGTCTTTATGACGCCCGGGAGACGAATCAGAAGCTGAGCACCAGTAGCAGTCATGAGAGAAAAACTCAGCCCAGCTAATACCACAATCTCCTGGCGCGGGACCAGGAGCACATCCAGCTGTGGCCCATTTCGCCAATGTAAAGTCTTGCTATGAGATCATATAGCCAGTTTCTGCGTGAAAATGCTGGAGTAAAAACAATTGGTGGTTGCATTTGGATGGACGTTTTGGCATAAGTGGGGCATCTATGTTGCACATGTCGTGAGTGCTTGGCTCGACCTACTTCAGGAACTGGATGTGAGTTTGGAGACAAGTGTTGTCCTCTAACAGCATGCGCTGCCGACTGTGCTGGGTCATCACGTTCTTTGCCATAAATTTGGAGGCTCCAAGAATCCAAGATACTACCAAAATGCGTTCCAATCTGGCTAGTTGTGTAGTAATATGTGCATGCACCTGGTCAAGCACATGCCGAACTTCTGAACATTGGGAGTACGAGTGTTTACTGCAGCCTAAGGGCCTAATCAACACAAACATCCAAACATCTTAACCGGCCCCTCTTCTCCATGAAAAAGTGCAAAAACACTGCGCAGGCCATTCATTTTGGAGTTCAGTCTATTGTTTTTTCATGATTTATGAAGTGAAAGCGCTCGAAACCTGCGTTTTGAGTGCCAAAGCTTTGATATGTTGGATTGGGAGCATTAGCTATGTTTCTCCGCTCGCCACACGACGTTTGTCATCTGAACATCTTGGCGAAGATTGTTTGCCCGTTTTTTTTGAGCAAGTTCGTTTTTTTGCACGTATCGCCATTCGAATTGCGGACCGTAGTGGAGAAGCAAGGGGTTCACTTTCTTGTTCTTCGTGCGCGTTCGCAACGATCCCGGAACTTGCTCTTTCAAACATCAGAGCATCGAGTCAGGCCGGGGACACAAGAGACAAAACCAGGGGGTCATCCCTCGACAGTCGAACCAAAACTGCGAAACGTTTGTCGTCAGTCCAACGGATGAAACTGCCCCCCCCCCACCCCCCAAAACAGCGAAGCCCTTCGATTGTTTTCAAGAAGCGATGATATATGCGTTTAACAAGTAAAGCTATTTAACCAGGCTAACGCCTGGCAGCCGCCGACCCCCAGGGAAGTGGATGGCCTAGTCACTGCATCACCAAAGTAGGCAGAAGAGAGCACGGCAAATGGGTTAGCATTTTTCTTTGAAAATCTGGGAACCCAAAAACAACACGGAGCCCCTAGACAACGACAGAACTATCCGATCTAGAGAAACCAGAGAAAATCCTGGAAAAACCCGCGCAAAAGGCATGAAAGGCATGAGTAAAGCTGAGAAAAACCTTAGCAAATTAATAGAAATCCAGCGGAAAACGTTTGCAAACGCAGGAAAATGGGTTAGCATTTTTCTTTGCAAATCTGGGAACCCAAAAAACAACATGGAGCCTTTACAAGTACCTAGAGAAGCCAGAGGACATGCTGGAAAACACCCTCGCAAAAGGTCTGAAAGGAATGAGTAAATCTTACAAAAACCTTTGAAAATCCTAGAAATCCAGCGGAAAACGTTGCAAAATCTGAGAAAAATCAAGGGCACTGGCAGGGACCAGGCCGCGACCAGCCCGGGATTCGAGCCCGGGACCATTTAGGGACCGTGCTTATTTTCCCGCGCGGGTGGAGAGGGTGCCCCAAGATGTAAATCAATTGGGATGGAGAAATCTTGGACAACTCTTGGAGCGTACTTTTCGTCACTGCTCCGGAGGGGTAGGGGAGGTAAGTCTAAGGCTAAGGCTAAGGCTAAATCAACAGTCACGCCTCACCCCACGAGTGGGGTCGGCGGATTAGCGTGGGATCTGACAGAATACAACACTAGTGTGGGATCTGACAGAATGCAACATCCTGACCGCATGCAACATGTAGAGAAAATTCATAATGTCAATAGAACATACGGGCCGGTTAAAGCCCGTGCTAGCAGCTAGCACAAACATCTCCGGACAAAGATTGGACCATCCAGTATCTTTACTTCTAGGGTGGTGCGGCTGACCTTATGTAACATATATTATATATATACATTGTTGCTTGCAGCCTCTGAATGAGATGACAATGTTAAGATGTAAGAAAAGAATATATATATATATAGAGCGACCTTTTGCCTGGCCTCTTGGTGACCTTGTTTAAGTGACAGCGTGAAAGCATATACTGTATATATATATATAGAGTCTCTGTGGATTTATACAGATCTTGGGTATTGCGTTTGGTGAAGAAGCGTTTCAACCACCACACTGCTGCCCGCCGTTTGGCCGGTGAAGTACTTTGTGGCCATTTGTGAGACGCATCTACAACAATGAAGTAATCCAGCTGAACGGGTCCAATCCCTTTGTTTTGGAACCGGCCCATGCAGCCGCCACCCAAGCAGATTTACGCACATGCATACGCGCCGGAGAGTTACATGTGCCGGAGTCAGTGTGTATATTATGTAAGAGCGATTTGGTGGGATGAACGAGGCCTGAGGGGTCGGTGCATCTAAGGCGCATTGCCAGGTGAATTAAAGCAAGTTGATCAGGAAAAGTGGCAAGGGGTACCCACTCGACTGGGTTTTCTGCCAATCCTGCTTCCTTGTGATCTTGCAAGGCCGAACATGCAGAACACTAGTGTCCTGTGTCTACCTGTTCACGGAAGGGACACTTTCATCGTTTTTTTATTGTGCTACTTTCAGATCGTTAGTTTGATACGCATCGATATCCTCAGCAATCCATTTGTGGTCTTCATGGGGATTTCTTTTTCATGTCTTTTCCAAAGCTATCAGACCAGGTAAGTGTCATGTATGGTTAAATGTGAATACATGATGTTTGATCATTTCATGAGCTTTCCAATCCAGCAATCAACATTCATCTCAGATTTCTTTCTTGCACTCCCTGGTGCCCTGGTGACACTCCTAGGGCTGGGCACATTTACTGAGGCAAGTGCGCTGGAATCTATAAACCTTGCACGGCCGACCGTTTAGGGCACACCCACCACCAAAGTTCCAAGCGGATCCAGTTGGTGGAGCCATGTCTTAGTCAAGTCTTAGTCCACAGAAAGCAGCTCAACAACAAGCAGTTCCTAAATTTGTTGAGTTTTTTTGAGCAAGCTGCGGCAGCTGCAGGCTAGCCGCCTCAGAACAAAATATGTGGTGGCTTGTTTGCAAGGACGAGGTGTGCAAAAGTGTTGATTTACCTTCACAACCTGCATGTTGCAATGTTGTTGTAAGGAGCGCCTCTCCTTGCCAGCAACTTGAGCCTAAATCCGTGCTATTTTGGCATGCCCTATATGCCACCACGTGGTGCCCCTTTCTTTTGGGGGGTAGCCAGTTTGGCCCAGGGAACTGTAGGCCTTTTGTGGTTTGAGCATTTTTGAGTTGCTGTGGCAAACCTGGTAAATGAACGTTGTGCCCTGTCGCACAAGGTCGAGTTCTACTAATCTGATATAAATGGACGTGATGTTGAATGCATCGGTTGCTGCATGTATATAGACATAAACGTCAAGATGTCATTGCCGCCAAGGAATTTAGAGAACTGGTTCGTGTAGTCCCTGACCGGCAACTTGCCCAAAGGACTCTGTTAACTGTTAAGTGGTGACATTGCCCGCTCAATTCTCAATGCTGCAGACCCAGGTTGGACTTTGCTTCTTCCATGCGCGTCCTGGCAGACCATCAAGCTGTCCTCTCGCCTCCTGGCAAAGGCGGGCGAGATCTGAGTGACTGGGTAAGTTGGAGCTTATTGCTCATGTTGGGAGCCAGGTCATGATTGCTATAGAACGTGGCAAGCTTTGGCTGTGGCCTGGCTGCAACGTGTAGAAGTCTAAACAACTCAGAACTGATACACACACAGAGTATATGGTAATAAAAATATATAAGCAAGATGGAGCCAGGAGACACTCTTGTAGGATACTCGTGGGACAATCTTGTAGAAGACGCTTCTTGTGGCACACCCTTGTGGGACACTCTTGCAGGAGACGCTCTTGTTGGACACTCTTATAGCCATCATGTAAACCAGCCCCGCCAACAGTTCTTTCCGTGAAGCGCGCAACTGAAGATTCGCCTCACAAACTAGCCGAACATATCTGAACACTTTGGAGGGCTTTGGCGCGGCAGCGCCTAGCTCTCCTCAGCCCCCGCTCCTTGCATGGAGCTCTGCCCGCACTGCTTGGGCGACCGCCCAGCTGCTGATAGCGCCCGAGCAGATGAATCTGACTGAGGACTAGTCAAAAAGTTGTCAAGATCTGCGTAATGGTGACGCGAGTACGAGGCTGCACTGTGACCCCTTGAGCAAACCTAGCTTCTTTCATCTTCTTTCGAACTTGCTTGCGCTGTTGTCACTACGTTCTTGATCCTGACTGCGGACATCTGTCTCAATTTCTGCATCTCGAGCTGCTCGTGGTTCTCAAGGAAGCCAGGGAAGCAGCGGCGCAACAATCTTGAGGATCTGTGCAGGGTGTAAGTGGGACACCAGGCGAACAAGCGTTTCAGCAACGTCTCCACTCAAACAAGCAAGACCTTGCATCCGTAAGCGCGGGCAGAACACCTTGGCACGGTGGTCCGGCTTATATCACAGCACTCCATTCACAGACCTTCGGCCGCATTGGGCGATGCATGGCGATGCCCTTCACATCCCTGATATGGATCCCATCCGGAAACCATGACTTAACACGATTGGCCTCCTGCGTTCTCAGCAGAACGGCTATACAGCCTCAACCCCAGCTGCTTGGGTTCCAAAAAGTGACCGTCACCTGGCGGAGATGATCAGCAGAGAGGAGGACTTGATCATCCCAAAACAGGACCATGATCCCAACATATCCAAACCTTGTTTGCTACCTGGCGCCTCCTCAAGATCTAGGGCATCGAGGTCCTACTGCCGCCCTTGACGCTACCGCTGTTCCACAAGCTATGTGGCTGGAGGGTCCTGAAGGGTAACCCTGACTGGACTGTCACTCCTAGTTTGCTTGGGGTTGCACAAAGGGAAGTGGGGCACGTCAGGGAGCAGCCGAGCGTATCACTTTGTTTGACTGTCCTTTGTTCTACCGTCTCTATGGCAGGGCTACCGACCGTAGTCTATGCAGGGGGTGCGGCGTTAGTTTCACCGCCATGGCTGTTTGACAAGCTGCTGCTACGTGCTGCTACAAAGGCGTTGGGCGGCAGCGCAGATTTCACGAGTGTATCAGTGTATCTCAATGAAGGACCTACAGCATATAACTCAAGCTAAGTTTCCCTAAACATCTAGGAACCATAAATAGTGCGAGCGCTTCTTCAAGGAAGCTACCCCCAGCTGTTTAGGCCCAAAACCTGACAGCTCACGCCCCACCGCGAGGGCCGAGGTGCTGCCGCCTGTCTCCTTGACAGGGGTGGCACGTCTACAGACCAGGCATTCACCTGTGCCTGGATCGCTATGGCCACTAAGGAACAGATGAGGATTGACGGCAAACTGTCGCAGGCTGGATTCATAGATTGGGCTACCATGGGATTGACCGACTCCCTGGCTTCCAGCGTCAGGGCAGCGCTCTGGTCAATCACCACCACAGGTGCATGCAGAGATGATGATGCTGACTGGATCCTTTTTGGAGAAGTGCTTGATCTTCAGTCAGGGTCCCTACCTTGTGTTTCTCTTCGACGTACTGCCCTGCTGACTTCCGAAGTGGTGCACCAAGATGACGGTTGGGGGACCTTCGATTTGGCTCTTCCAGTTGAACATAAGCGAGTCGACTTCACACCAGGCATGTTGATCGGAGTGTACACCAAGCCTGCAAATCGAACTGAACCTCGCAAGATTGTTGCGGATGAGTCTGTTCCGATTTGGAATATCTCCTCATTTGACAGCTGCTTGGCATGGAATGTGACTCACCTCTTTGCTGGAGCTTATGAAGGGTGGCTGCGTGCTATGTGGTGGCTTCAACAAGCCAATGTTGGTGTCTCCTTTGCGACTCACACATCAGTTGATTGGTGCCCTGAAGTAATGAAGACGTGGGAGTTTAACCATGGATCTGCGGTCCATGGTTGCCCTATTCCGGTGTCCTTCAACCCCACCACGAAGATCAACGGGATCTTAGCGGACATCAGTGAGCCCACCCTCCTCAGGGCTTCTGCCAACAAGTCGAACCTGCTGCTGACACTCTCGCCCCCTTGCCCGAGTTGGAGCAAGGGTGGCAAGCATTCTGGGCTGGCTACGGATGAAGGTTTTTGCTTCCTCGACGCAATTGAGCATGTATCCAGGGTGCGACCAGTGCTTGCTATCTTCGAGTGCTCGGACGGCATTGAAGCTAGGGTTCTATCAGCTGCTCTGCAACTTGCAGGATACATCAAAATGTGGTCACAAGACGTTGCCATACATCAACTCACCTCCAACCTGCGTACTCGATGGTTAGCAGTGTGGGTGAGGAGTGACATTCCAGTCCCGAAGTCTCGTGAACGATTCACTTGCGCAGCTGATCGACGCCTCAGTTGGAATGATGCCAAACACCAACACTCCCTTCCAAGCTCCTTGAAGGAGGGCCTGGGGATCGAAACCTTCTCCCTCCCGCCAAGAGAGGGCGAGAGAATATGAATGAAGCTCAAGTCCTTTCACAGCGGCTGATCCAACATGGAGAGTACCTACCCACGCTATGTGCATCTTACACTGCACAACATTTGCTTCAGAGAGATCACATTGCAGCCAAGGGGCTTTTTGCGAATCTGGTTCAAAGGGACGATAAGTTTTGCTTCATTGATCCCTTTGTTTTTGTGACCCCGTTTGGAACAACTGACTCGATTGTTCTCCCAACTGACAGCTTCGCATGGCTTTCCATCAACTGGGTAATGCTATTTCGCAGATACACGCCCTTATTGGGATTTTGGTTGGAATTGAAGGAGTGACAAAGGAAACCTTCCAGAAGAATGCCCTTGTTCTGCAGTGTTGGGATGACCGCCTCACAGCTGACAACGCTATAATCAGAGTTTGTGACAACATGTATGTGCTACAACCCTTCTTTGTGGCGAAGGCGTTGCCTAGCAGCATTGCAACTTGGCAGCCATGGCTAGTGAACCATGCCCTAATCCGGTTCTGTGATGATGTATCGTTGGTCCCGCTCAACATTGATGAGAATTGCAAGATTACTGATCAGCTCTTGTCCAGCTTGGACCTTGGGATGCACCACAGGCACCTTCTGCGGCTTCTTGGAGACGATGGGGCTCTCTCCACTGAACTGCGTTAAGATTGGCTCTCTCAACCTGTGTGATCTGCATGTGGTTCGAACTGGAACAGTTGACCCCCAGGCCGATCCCATTCTCTCTCCGACCCAACCTTGGGATGGAGAGGATGTTGAACTTGAATTGGATCAGTTGCAAGATGCGCACCAGTCCGGGTTTTTCCATGTGGCGGAGTACTTGTGCCAAGATGAACTTCCGCGGCAAACTGCCAAGATCCTTCTTCTGCAGCAAGATGGTTCCTCAGAATGGATCAATGATGCTAACCTGGATCGCCTGGGCAGCCTTCCTGTTTTCCAACAGGCAAATACGACTTTGCATTTCTTCAAGGCCAATCGTGAGGCTTGTCAGCAGCTGCTTGGCATTCATATTGTGCTGGCTATCCGTGGCACCTATGACCCAGTTCACCCTGACAAATGGGTTCTTCTTGCCGGGGGTAGAGATCTTCGATGGTGCAAAATTTGCCATATTCCGCGTGCATTGACACCTCGACAATGTGATCAGTTGCTGGGACAGCGTTGCCATATTACTCTGCGCAACACAGTTGCTTGTAGGCCTGATGAGCCTCTTATGCTGATCAATGGGGACATCCTTTGGAGTGACACTCGTGTGCATGATGTCGTTCCTATTCGATTTGGTGGCATGGACCGTCTCTCTGAACAGCCCAGCTGCAATGTTCACAACGATGCAGTTCAGGCACGCTTGCTGCAATTCAACCTGGAACCAGGGTCCTTGGCGGTAGACGAGGTCATCTTTCACTTTGACATCTTGCAGGTCCTTATGCCGTCCATCTGTTGGTGCCCACCAGGTTCTTGGGTGAACATTGAGTCCCAATTTCGTCTTCCGACTCAGCCAGTTGACCTGCAACGATGCTATCAGCATTTTGTCGTTCCAATCTTGGTCGTCTTCGATTGGATCTTCGTTGAGGTTCGCTTCTTTGAGGGTCAATGGAGAATCCTCTACCATTCCCCAGAACAGCTGACCATCAGGCAAACCAATGCTGTCCTTGAGCTGATCAATGTGATGGGGATACCGGTCGCTCCCAATGCATACCGGTGGATTCGAACGGCTGAAGATAATGACCTGGCTTCCTGGCATACTCTTCGTACTTTCTATGCTAGAGCGGGAGCACCTCGACTTCCTGAATCGCATAGGAGTCTCCAGAGATTGCAGCGCGCGCAGCACACCGAGCATATCATGCAAATTCTTGATCAAGCCGATCTGGTATGGAGAGACCCAAGATCGTATGGTTCAGCTCGCTCGGGCATGCAGACATGCTTTTCTTGTAGCTATCACGGAAAGCCCTGGTCGGGCAGAAGATCTACTACACAGGGCCACGGGACGCCCCTTGCCTGTCTATGACATTCGTGAGATCTTCTTCATTGCAGACGAGTGGCTTGAGATGAGGCTCAACATCTACCGGACCCATCCGGGTTGGGCTACGAGTGATGAGATCGAGTTTGCAATGGGCTTCTTCATGCCTGAATCCTTTTGCCCTCCAGTCCTGCACCACGATCTTTCTTTGATCGCTGCCGGTGTCAAAATCCCTTGCGCTGAAGTTCAGAGGTTTGTGGTCCTCAGGGAAGGACACTGGATTGGT